TAATTTATAATGCATTCGATAAAGTTTCGTCGTCAAATAGTAATAAATTTTCTAAAGATCGTCCTCTTAGTTATCAGCGTCAGGCTAATAAAATGTTTCTCGGCCATTTCCACAATATCCATTAATCCCACTGGATCTCACACTAGAGAAGTGACATGTGGTATTGGTGCCAGCTGTGTTCAATGTGTATGGATGTTGGCACCTCATACATATTACGTATGTGCTCTTAAACGGTCAGAAATACAAATTATGTAATTGGTCTCACGTTTTCATAAATTGATTAAAAGAAACTGCCAAATATACTAATATGTTCAAGTTAATTAAACTAGGTTTTTTTTTAGAAAATAAAATACATCTCAAAGGGATAGAGTAGTTTAGGCTGTTTCTACCCTCTCAACTAATATGTTTTAAAGATACCAAGCTAGTCTTCCTAATATATGAATTGTTAACAGCCGATATGGGTCTAATTGTGCACGATACGAGTATAGGGAACCAAGAAAGTCTGGAGATAAGTCGTATGATAAAGGTTATTAATTATTTGAAAAGAAGTCAATTCCATCAACCCGGTGTAACCCGGATATAATTTCTCGAATTCCCATTACTGAGGTCCGTGAGCTTTTTAGGTTCATCGAGGTCTCCATAGGTCAACTACTGACCTTCCTCAGGATGCAACCCACAACAGCCGACATACTCCCAGGAGCCTATTTCCGCCCACGTGAATAAAGGTGACAAGAAGCGCGCCCAATATATGTACAATATCTACATAAATATATGCACAATATCTACATAAATATATGCACAATATCTACATAAATATATGCACAATATCTACATAAATATATGCACAATATCTACATAAATATATGCACAATATCTACATAAATATATGTACAATATCTACATAAATATATGTACAAAATCTACATAAATATATGTACAATATCTACATATATTTATGTAGATATTGCAAGATATCGCTTAAATCGGTAGTAGATATCATGTGTTGCAAGTGTGTGTGTTGTGTGCAAGTTACACCCTCAGCCTTCATTGACATTGAACATACAAAGCCACAAACAAGTGGGTTCGGTTCTACCTGGTTGGATAATGCTCGCTGACAATTCACAATGGATGTAAATATTATGTGTATAACTGAACCCCCTTTATATATTTATTATTTAGGTGCATGAGCTGTAGTAGCGAGGATAAGGCACGTGTCTGTGGCGCCGACAAGGAAACGTTCGAACAACGTCACAATTAAACGTTCCAGTGAGAGATGCCATGAGACATACTCATTATTTCTTCTAAAATGTATTTACCTTAATTGTCTAGATTTAACTGAAATTCTACGGGTGTTAGTATAATATTCAGCATCATTTTATACACATAAAATAAGTTTTGACAAGAACACAGTTAATGTTTTACACTTTACCTCGTTTAGAGAGAGATTTAGAGCAATGGCGAGGCGATTTGTTAAGTGTGGTCAGGGAGACTGTCGGAGAACAGTCTGCTGCCTTACTTGTGGGTCTTCCTCCTAGTCTCGTATCCCATAATATACTATCAACAAATACTACTTCAGGCTGATTATGGTCTAATTTAGGATAATTGTCTTTGGATTTGTGCCCGACGTAATTCCGTAGAATTTTAACTATAAATATATATCAGTATAGTATAATCTTTAGCATAAATATCTGTAGCAATTTCGTTTCTCGTTCACGCTTCAGCACACAGTTTTGGGTTCCATCGCTTTCAGTTACAGTTACGTCTAGCACTACACTAAGACTGGCCACTTGTCTCAGCCCGACGGGAGTCAAGCACCACAGCACTGTAGAGCAGCACAGGAGGAGCGAGAACCGCCAGCGCTGCGTGTTCCGGCAGTCAACTGATCTTGTCAGCCGAGGGAGACTTAAGGTTCCCTCACTACCCCGGTTGCCGAGCGTTCATTTTGCGATTCTAAGGTGGACTACAGACTCAATATCTTACGTTTTACCTCCCCCGGGGCTACGGGGTTGATGTTTGAGAGTCAAGATGGCTAAACGACGTGTTATACTAGTTGAGCAAAGTAAAAACAATTGCCAGATAAGGTAATTGAAGGATGGCTGTTAATTGTTGCTGTTGGCAGCTCATGATAATAGCCGCGCTTCCTAACACGGGCAAGAATTTTTTGGTTAACTTGGCTGCTTCTGTAATAACATTGATGACCTTCATTTGTAGCTGGTGTTTGTAATGTGGTTTTACGATGGGTGTAAGACTTATCAACCTCTTGAGGGTTATTATAGCCAGTGCATTATCTTCCCAGCAGGCAAAACATATTCGAGTAATGTTCAAACAACATTGTTTGCCCAACATATGCCCACCAGCAAGTATACATGAGTCTTGAGGCTAGACCTAGAGTCTAGATCCTAGAACCTAGAGTATACATTCATCCCGTGTAATATATAGAGGCCGGAGAAGGAAGTTATTTTTGTTTCACACACACACACACACACACACACACACACACACACACACACACACACACACACACACACACACACACACACACGCACACACACGCACACACACACACACACACACACACGCACATACACACACACACACACACACACACACACACACACACACACACACACACACACACACACACACACACACACACACACACACACACACACACACACACACACACACACACACACACACTAACTCTGTTTAACGTTGTGATAATCATTAGCAACATAATATAAAAATTATGGTTTATGTCACAAAGTCTTCGAAAGGAAAAAAAAGTATGCTTAGGAGATGGAAAACAACCTTTTTTTATATATATACAGTATCTCGAAAAAGTATTATATGTGGAAGATATCAAGCAACTAAAAGTACTACTTTTCGTAAGAGTAAGACAGAGGTGGGATATGGATGATTCATGAGTGTTATAAATCATTACTCATAAATCAGAGCTTTAATATACCAATGTGCTTTAATATATTTACTAATCTCTCTCATCTCCTTTTTTTCTTGCAATGTATCTGTTATCATTTTATTAATTCTGCTAGAATTTACCTACTTAAAATTATCAGTTAAATTTAGGACCTGCCCGAAACGCTGCTCGTACTAGTGGCTTTACAAAATTGTAAATACTATGCTATGTATTCTCACAAACCCAATGTACCTTCTTGTATATAAATAAATAAATAAATAAATAAATAAATAAATAAATAAATAAATAAATAAATAAATTATTAAACCTTGAAAATCCATTTCTAAAATTACTTAAGTGAATAACATTCATTTATTAGGACCATATTAGCGTTCAATAAGAACAATCTGCCTGTTGTAATTGCCATAGTATTGAAAAGGTTGTTTAATGGGATTTTAGTGATGAACAGTAAACAATTACATGATATATTGATACAAGATAATGTGCTAAAAATAAAAAAGTACTTTGATACTTGTCGGATCAAAGAGTTTCTTTATTCCAAAACAAAGAGAAGACTTATATAGACATATTAATGAAACCTTCCCCTCACCAATGATAGTGGGATAACACTATCCTGCTATCATGGAAACTAAGAACAGTCATTCATCTTAAAGGTCGACGTTCAATCCCCGACTGTCGTAAGTGGTTAGGCACCATTCCTTTCCCTCGTCCAATCCCAAATCCTTATCCTGACCCCTTCCAAGTGCTTTATATTCCCATTGGCTTATCGCGTACTCTTGATAATTACATTACATTACTTTTAAATATATGATATGAAAGACCATGCTAAAATTGTCAATAAAAACAAAAGAGAACTAAAACCTAACAACACCCTGTGGTTATCAGTGATTATCTCAACAAATATGTTTAATTGTAAAAGGGACATAAATCCTACTCAACAGGTGTAAAACAGGTTCCCGCATCAGAACCTCCGGAAACTTTTCTTCTGTAGCTGTCATAACATTTATTTCCTATTATTTAGTATTATGTATGAGTATTATACTTACATTCATACGCAAATTGGCTCAGCTGAATTCGTGTATATTATTAAAGAGTTATACATGCAACGTTGCAAGGAATGTGAAACAACAATGAACTAGATGGTAACTGTTGCGAGCAACAGAGGCCAGGGAGTCCCCGGGTTCTCGTACGTCTGGCACCGAGCGAGACTCTGGCACATAAAGAGGACTTGTCAACACCATCTGTGACGTCACACTTGCCAACGTTTTGTCTCGTTGTCAAGCCAAACTTCTGTGTTTGTTTATGTGTTTGTTTATGTCTTCCCAATGTTTTTGTCAGGCGGGTTTGTTTTCATATTATTTGAAGAATATTAGACATGTGTTAATATTAGTACTTACCTGTGATCAAGACGAAAAATAATATATATATATATATATATATATATATATATATATATATATATATATATATATATATATATATATATATATATATATATATATATATATATATATATATATATATATATATATATATATATATATATATATATATATATATATATATATATATATATATATATATATGGGCGGTAGTGATCCCTTCTCATCCTCAGGAAGGTAGTATTTATTTTTGTATTGAGGCAGGTATTTTCTCCCCTTATTCCATGTATAACTAGCCATCCTGTGAAATAGGAATATTAGATGAACTTACTGCTAGATTTTTTTATCTACACTATGTAATCTTTCATATCGAGTAGGGTAGCAGCACATTGCTATGTCTACCTAAGTATGTTAATAACAAAATATAAAGTATATACCTTAGTTTATTTGTATACAGAGAGAGAACAATTCGTGCAATCATGTTGCGTAATGGAATGTTAATTATCGGTGTTAAGGTTGTTATTCTTTTAGCCTATACTCATCCTATTGGTGGTAGTGGAAACTTTTCAGAAGCACGTATTGGGCTCCTCCCTTTCGTATATTTCGTGAGCAACACCTGTTGCGTCATGCTTCTGTAAGTAGCTTTTCGTATATTACGTGAGCCCGAACACTTATTGCGTCATGTGTTCACTAGCCACTGTACGTACGTCTTGGGAACTCCAGATCCCGTCCTGAACGTGAATGGACAGTCGGTGACAGTTGCAGAACATATACCTCCTACCCACAGTCGAGCAGAACAAAGCGTGCAGAGCGGATGTACTGCAGCTAACTCTTGCATCACAACATTCGTTATATCCTTCAGTGGTCATCATAACATTCGGTGTTTCATATACGTATCAGTGGCTGATCGTTGTTATGACATTCATAAGAACCAGTGATATACATTGTAAAGGCGTTTCTAACCGTAAAGACTGAACTAATATAGATCTCTACACTACAAGTGGAATCTGCCAGGTGGTGCTCCTACATATTACGGCATCTGCCTTCCTCATCCCATTGCTACGGACGTATTGCTAGCATTATTGCACACCAACGATGGGTGAATTAACAATAAGCAAAAACGTGAGTAACGTTCCAGACTCATACGTCTGGCACCGTGTGAGGCGAGGTGGCTGCCAGTGGCGTCGCTTCTGAGTTATATTATTATAATAAACTAACAATAACACCTTTAAACACGATAAGTATACACTGAGAAAATTCCTATTTTTGCATACAATGTTTGAGTAGAATGCAATTTTGTAGTCCCCTTTGATACATCATATCTGCATCAATCCAAATCATAATATATAATGTGTAAACAAGTCCATTGGTGTTCAGTATCAACAATATAAAATAACTGTGATATCGACAATTGTGAGTCTGATAACAGTGCCAGTTTTCAGGATTTTGTTTGTGCTTGTTTATTCAGGAAAAGAAAATATAGTCTTAACAATACTGTTTGCACGTGTGTGTGTGTGTGTGTGTGTGTGTGTGTGTGTGTGTGTGTGTGTGTGTGTGTGTGTGTGTGTGTGTGTGTGTGTGTGTGTGTGTGTGTGTGTGTGTGTGTTTATCACAGCCCATCCTCCTGTTTTGATTGTATTTATAGGTAGGATGAGGACCATAGTACATATTCCGACGTACAACGCAATTAGAAAGTAGAAATCTGTGCTATCGGATTTGGACAAACTGAAAAAGGCTTTGTATTTATGTTGCAAAGACCAAGTATACTAAATTAATCTAACATTCTTAGGCCTAATATACACTATCTGACGCCTAATATAGTACATATTTGTGCTATACTAGGCATTTGAATATTTATGTTGGTATTTTAGCTTCATTTTTTCGGACTATAAAGTGAATAGTACAAAATTCTACTATCTAATTGCTGAGTACGTCAATATTTGTACTATGGTGCACATAGTTACAAAAAGTACTGTCTGAACTGTAGAATAGGTTGGTTTATCATGTTATTTTACAGCAAGTTCAGAAAAAATTGAATAACAGACTGACCAAAACACCTATGATAGGGTGTATCTTACTGACCTTATCAACCTATGCCCCCCCCCCCCATCTTTAACCTTATTTCAGCTAACCTAACCTGACCTGTATCTAACGAATCTAAGTCTGACCACACAACTGTATAAAGTCTAGAATGCTTGCCAAGATGAAAGGGTGAAGTTGCACTAACTAAAAGGGCCATTATAACATTCACAGCTGATCTAACTAACCCAATCTAACTTACTTCATTAGTTAATAACTCTCAGTCATACCCTGAAGGCATAAGAAAATAAAAATAACATCATTTTATAACTATTCGAGCTGAATGAGGAGTGTTTGCTAAGGGTTAAATATTGGAAGGTTATTAAAAGTTAATGATAATATCCCAAACAATTTAACATTTACAAGAGTCAATGACCAGAGTGATCTAACTGAATATTATCTTACAGACAAGTGTGGTGATGGACCGACACCTCTTCTCCACAAGGTCGCCGAAGTCTACCGTGTTCTGGCTCCCGGGTAATGGAAGAAGCATCGCCCCTCAACATAATTCTTACCGCCCCTTTGATCGCATAGTCCGCACCGTCCACATACCCGAAGCTCTAGACATATGCGCTCATCACCAGATGATACCCAAGCCTATCGTAAGTCACAGTGTTCTTAACAGGAATCACTTACGAGCCGATCATCCTTGTGCAAATTTGTGCGTTCTTTGGTTTGGAATTAAAAATCTTGAAGACGAAGAGAAGCACGACTGGTATGGAAATGTTGAATTTGCACTGCCAGCCGACTATCTGCTGCAGGTCTGGAAGTATTGCTTCTTGGTGGAGATAATGTCTACTCCAACTCACACGGCCACACGGCTGCTCATCACTAACACGGACTACTCTGCTGTGCTCTCCAAGTACGACCCCTGTACCGCGGGAGGGCCCTGGGTTAAGACCTCAGGAGGCAATATGGGACTTACCGACTGCTTCAGATACAACAACATTGGCTACAACAAACATGGTCACTCCTTGGAATTCATGATTGAGGTCAGACCCTTCGGCCAGAGGGCGATCTTAGAGAACTGTGAGATCTCATTCAGGAATCACTTGGAAGCAAATGACTATAGCAATCCACATGTCTGTCAGCGTTTTCAGAAAACAGCAACGCCTTGTCCAGCGCCCTTCGCCGGAGCTCTGAGCTCCAGGATATTCTTTGGTGAGCACGCACGATTGGGAAGGTTCTCAAAACTCTACACACCTCGCCTCTCCTGGACTGCCTTGCAACACCTTCATCGTTACATCGCAATGGCTGCATCCCATTCAATTCCTCATTACAATCTGGCACCAGCTCCTTATCCTGTTCACGCACATGCTGCGAAGCGCATAATGACCAACATCAATACATCGATGAATCTTAAAGTTATAAATGGGGTATTCGATGGTAACAATCATTTCCAAATAACTTGTTTGGCAATGAGATCACAGATTCAAGGACAACAGAGTCCTATCCTTTATTGGATGAGATTTTCAAAAAAGACAGAAAAATATAAGAATGAAGATCCTGCTGGAATCCTTCAGAATGGGAGCAGAAAAAATCATAAAGCTCTGTGTAATAAATGAGAGGAGCAACACCGACCTTTTCTAGTAGTTATCTTGCGTTTGTTCCGAGGATCAACGTTACCGTGGCCCGGTCTCTGACCAGGCCTTCTGGTTGACAAACTGGTCAACCAAGTTGTTAGACTCAGCTACTCGCGGTCTCCCTATTGAGTTACGTTATCCTTGAACGCAACATGTGTCCAATTCCCCATCATATTGGAATGTTCCAACGAAATGTAAAGTCCTAATTAAGTCAAAATGTTGCAGTATAATGAACACTCGGGAGGCTTTTAGCATCACTGGGAATAAAGTCAGACTAGAATGCTCTTCTACAGCTAGCAATTAAGGCTAGTATTATATCACATCTAAGTTATGGGGTCTCTACAATGTAAATATAATTGGTCTTTAGTGTATTGTTTAAGTGTACAGTGGGATTTTCTGAACTTTTCCTCTCGTGAGGTGACATACAGTGGTACACAAAGTATAATGTGTTGTATACTGTGTATACAACACATTGTACATATATGTATACGATATATATATGTTGTATACTGTGTATACATAGTCATAATGTGAGAGATATATATATTTTGTAAGAACATTGATATTTTTGGATTTATATGCTTAAATGGACTTATGGATAACTAATATTTCATTTTTATTCTTGACACTATCGAACTGATAGCTCATTTTAGCAACAAAAAAAAATACAACTATACAGTGTATCAGTTGTACAAATAAATTAAAACATGCATTGTTATAAACTTATCAACATTGTATATGACAAAAACATGTGCCTGTCAGATCACTGCACCACAATCCTTTTGATGTATTTTTGTATCTATTCGAAAAATTATAGTTTAGTGAGCACTGCTGGTATGTCTCTGTCTTCATATATTGTTATATATTGTTTTAGCACAAGCCAAATAAATCTTTGACTCTTATGGATATTTTAATTTCCCTTATACAAAATAGGAATAATCAGAGGTGCTATATATTTTCTATTTTTTTTTTTTTTTACTAAAGTCTACTGTGCTGTCTTTTGTATCCAAACTCTAAATGACTTTTGAATATAGATTTTTCCATTAGGCATACACACTGATAACTTCATAAACGTACATATAATTAGCTTCATGGAAAGAAGGCATAAAAGCCTATTTTTTGCATTAGCATTTGATAATATAAATATCATCTCAAAATGACAAGACAGTACTCATAAAATATAGTAATACTGAGGACAGGAAAATGACGGGTTAAACAATATTATTAGTTACAAACTTATAATGCTAATGATGTGAATAAAAAACATCATTAGCATTAGATGCAATAAATACGCAAAATGATGATTTAATATACCATAAAATCTACCTAATATTAGGATGATTAACCCTTTCGCAGCATTTTGTCTTCCTGAATGACATGTGTCTGAGGGAAGCCTTAATTAACATCTAGGTAACCACAAATCACATCAGCGAATACATAGTTATGACTTCGACCATCAGAGGTTCCTGGCGTGAGAACGGCCGTGTTAAGAAAAATTATCGAGCCCCTCAGTGCCCACAGCACCACCGAGGACGCCTGTCTGCTGGTGCTTCACCCTCATGGACTACTCATGACCCTGTGCCTCTTCATAAAGATATTCTTGGACTTGTTGATAACTTTAGGGATCGAGGAAACAACTGTTTGATGGTCCTCCATTAACTCAGAGAGAAGATGTAAGACCTGGTGGACAGCTAGAAGCCGGAATTCGGAAAATATCACCTCACCCTACCCAACAATCTCTCCCTATGATTAAGGGGGTTAGGTGAATCGTAGAGCGAGGTGTACCAACACTTATATATGTCTAGATTTCTTCCTGTCTTATTTACGGGCTATTCATGCCCGTGCCACCTCTTAGGTGGCTTAATCTTTATCAATCAATCAATTCCTGTCTTTTTTTCCATCACACAGTTACAACCCCGCTCCTGTGCCAGGTAAATCCACTATGGGGCTCACCATAGTCCGTGCTACTTGGAACTTTTTGTTCCCAGTAGCTGAATCTATAACAACAACAATCCCTGTCTTTTGTTCACAGCCCCGCTCCTGTGCCAGGTAAATCCATTACGGGCTCACCATAGCCCGTGCTACTTGGAACGTTTTGTTCCCAGTAGCTGAATCTTAAACAACAACAACAACAACCCTGTCTTTTCAGGAAAACAGTGTTTTTCTGAAGATGTCGCATTGCTGACGAAACGTCGAACAACAAAAATGGAAAGATTAAGTGTTTCTTCACCCTCCAGATAGTAGAATATATTTGTGTAGAATGGAAAATATATACAAGAAAAATATTAAGTCACAATGCTGTTGTGTTTGATTACATGTATATTATCGAAAATTAGCTCTCAATATATATTGATTGATTGATTGGTGGGAAGACATGTTTGTTTTAAATCTATTTGTGACTGCGTACATTTACGCTACTGCCGTGAGCTAGTTTGTTGTATTATCTTCATAAAAAACTGAGCCCTTGATGGTTTCCGTGATAAACAATAACGATAGTCACCCAATATAATTGAGAGTTAAATATCGATTAGACACGATAAGGTTGTGTTATCAGTATGCCGACAACAGGAGCAATTGGCGGAGGACATCCTCCTGATATCCCACACATTCGTGTCATGACGCCAGTCTGCGTTCCTAGAACACATATACAGATAACGCGTGTGTAGATAAGATTACATCTTACTCATTTTCAAGGAATTCGCATATAGAAAGATATCAAATTTTGTCATTAAAACTCTATTTATAAAGGAGGATGTTTGTGTGTTCAAGGTTGGGGGCCAGATGCTTGTGGCTAGTCACACCAAACTTTGCAGGGTGACTGGTGGGTTAAGGGGAGAGGGGGGATGTCATTGGTGGCCTCAGTGTCCTCTTTAAAACGGAGTCAGGGTCGGTCTCTGTGGCCATACCTCTGAAGCTGGCGGAGATGGAATGTTCAAGGACTCGTTCAAAATCTAAGCTTTTCTGGGGATTTTAGAACATTTGGAAGGTGGTTGGGGTCGGCTCCCTCATGAACCTGATAAAGGAAGTACATGCCATAATATTTGTATTCTGAGGCCCCGGGCACTGCCGGGTGCTCCATTTAGTATAACACTTAAAGGTTTATTAAGGCAATTTCTACGAAAATCAGTTTAATTTTAATAATTTCAGTATATTTTTGAAAATAAATTCTTTTCAGTATTTCATTGAGGAACAAAATTAGTTTGTGTATATTACACTAATATAAGTTTACTGCAAAGCTCTACCAACATTTCATTGTTCGATTTACGTTAAACAAATGTCCAAATAGTTATATATATTATTTACATATTTGTAACCTATATGTAACTCCTTTTTTGTAACAAAGTTCAAATAAAGCAAATATATATGTGTACATACAAAAGAATGGGGGTGGTAGGAGAAGATAATATTGGTGTTCAGTGGGAAACCACAAGGTCTCCTCTGAATACTCTTTATTTTCTTCTCCGAGGCTATGGGTCCCCACATTGGCACCAGAGGTGGTACCCTCACAAACTTTTATTTACATATGTATATATATTATTTTTGTCTGCACATTTTTTGTTGAATTGCAATTTTTTCCAATAACTGTATATTGTTTTAAGATGGAAATATAGAGAAACTTTACTCTTGAAGGGGCCTCGTAGCCTGGTGGATAGCGCGCAGGACTCGTAATTCTGTGGCGCGGGTTCGATTCCCGCACGAGGCAGAAACAAATGGGCAAAGTTTCTTTCACCCTAAATGCCCCTGTTACCTAGCAGTAAATAGGTACCTGGGAGTTAGTCAGCTGTCACGGGCTGCTTCCTGGGGGTGGAGGCCTGGTTGAGGACCGGGCCGCGGGGACACTAAAAAGCCCCGAAATCATCTCAAGATAACCTCAAGATTGAAATTAATTTTGTGCCTGTTGTTTTTATTTAGAGTACGCATGATTTATTGAAGCGGCTTCGTGTTGTAGTGGCCAACCTGTTGCCAAAACGAATTCAATATATTTATGCATGCTGTTTTGCATATTAATGAGTTTCACATTGCTGTGTTGTTGCTACGGAGGCATTTACTGTCACCACCACCACCAGTATTACTACCACAGCCTCTATGCTCTTTATTATCATCACTATCACCAACACTATCATCTTTATCATCACTACTCCAATAACCATCACTACTTCCACTATAAGCAACCCCCCCCTCCCCAATAACCACCACTGCTTCTACTATTATTATTATTGTCACTATTACCAATATCATAACCTTCACGATCATTACCAACGTCACCATTACTTCTGCTACCAATCCTACCCCAACCAGACTACCATACCCCAGCCGTTACATTAACACCATCAGTCCATTAACAACCCCCTCAACCACGATCATTACCCTCCACTACTTAACGTTTGACACAAGAGATCATTTGTTATTCGGTTGCCTGTAGGCGATTTCGATAGTTTTTGCAGGCGATGAGTCACAATAACGGGTCTAAAGTATGTTGACCAGACCACACACTAGAAGGTGAAGGGACGACGACGTTTCGGTCTGTCCTGAACCATTCTCAAATCGATAGTTTTCGATAGTTTTTCTACTCAGCAGCCAGGCCTCATGCAGGCTTCCCTGCTGATGGTCTGATCTAAGAGGCTATCTGTGTATGTAGTTTTGTCGAACAAATCAGGTACTGAAAACAATTTTTTTTTATATAAATTTAAAACAAAGAAAATGTCGAACTTAAAATTTATTTTCAGTACGGATTTCGAGGAATATATAAGGGGACAGTCACATGGAAATATTTGATCGGATAAGAGATCAGGAGGCTCTGAATTAATGGATTTACTGAGGAGCAATATTCAGGTAGGTCTGTTACTGGAGGAATATTATTACAGCGTGGTCACAAGGGAAATATTGAAGAGGAGTTGTCACGAGAGTAATATTCAGTAAGTAGGATAAACACAAGAAAAATATTAAGACAGAATAGTCACAAGATTCAATAATATTCAGGAAGGAATAAGTATATAGGGTGGTTATAAACAAACAGAATTCAGAGGTTAAAGTATTTAACAACATAACAATTGATACATGAACAAAGTGCACGAGTAAAGTATTTCTGGTTAATAAAAGGTCAGTTATATATTTTTTCCCTAAAGGGGTTATCATAACAAAAACAATTTACTCAATAGATAATTACTGGATCGCATCCGTGTCCAGTTCCTTTTCGGGCTCCTTTCTACAATAATAACAATAAATGATACCTATTTATATCACGAAAATAATTGCACGAATGAGGAATCACTGCAGGTAAGGTTTAACAAGCTCCCAACACTATATTCGAGAATTAACTCAACTTATTTCACTAAGAAAATAAATTCAAAATGAATAACATGGCAACACAGTAGTGACGTTTATCAGATTCGTTTAGATATGAATAACGTGCAATACAGGAAAAAAAATTATGATAGTATATCTGCAGGAGCGATTGACTGATGACTAGTGGAGTCCAAGGCTTTCCTCAGGCAGTAGGTCCCTTCTGCTCTGCTGACGAAGTTGTGGCTCCTCCACAGCGCCTGCTGAAGGTGGGTATACATACAATCTCTGAGGAGTTTGTTCACATTATTCAGTTTAAGTTATCTTTGATTTTATTAACTGATGTGGTACGACAGGTTATGGTGAGCGGGTGTTAATAGACTTAAACGATTACTTTCCCTTTTGTCTGTAAGTCCTCTCGCATTTTAGCTTCGCGCAAGATGATTTTTAGTGAAACATTAATGAATTAGCATCAAACAGCTTTTCGAATGATTAAACCACACATCAGAAAGTGAAGAAACGATGACGTTTCGGTCGGTCCTGAACCATTATCAAGTCACGACTTTCCTTCTTACTTACGTGTTGTTACTTTATTGTGAAAACAATTATCTCCATATGTTCCATTATTCTCTTTTTTATTATTGTTTCCTGCACTTTTTAAGGTATACTTAGAAAGTTATTGTTATTGTGCCCATTTTTGTATACCGATAAGTGCCCCATTCCAGGTAACTGATAGCACTTTGGTGAAATATTTGGGATCATTGCAAGAGGGCTTGTATTTGATTCCAGCAGTGCCATTTAAGATCTCTGGAGATATCCTGTCAGGTCTTAAAAGTTATTTTTTTTAAATAAATTATTTAATTATACCTTGCTATGATTAGTGTCTTAGTTCCGTTTTTCTCAGTGAATTCTTGGTAATAACGTCTTTAAATTTTTAATTTTCCTCTTAGTTTTCAACTCTACAGTATATTGAATGTTGACAAAGAGGACGCTGAAACATCCTCCACCGAGCCGGGCTGTCTCTTTGATATATTGCATTCGAAAGTTTCTCTCTGGCTTCAGTAAGGGTTAAAGTTTCGCAACTCTTGATTTCCCCGGTGATTTCCCAATTCCCCTTTAAATGATTGAGTACTTGAAATTACTCACGACTAAGATATTTTCCCTTCCTTTTAACAGCTGCATCTTCCACTCGTGTAACTATGACTGTAGTTGCAATGTTGGTATTCTCGAAGTCCTGTCTTTATCTCCTGCTGATCTACGGGCTCACCATAGCCCGTGTTACTTAGAACTTTTTGTTCCAGGTAGCAAATCTTTAACAACAACAACATATCTCCTGTTATTTGTTGAGAGGGGTGTTATATGACTGCCATCACAATATGCTGACTTTCTGAAGTTATAATTATTATGAGGCAGAAATTTACCATCATGTTCTTTAGTATTTACAAGACTTACAAGGTTCCACGTCACTTTTCCTTTATTGGTTCTTCATATTTGGGTACCCAGGAGAATGCTGCATCTGTAATGATTTTGAAAATGTCTCTGCCATTGGTAGCATATCAGGGACTTCATCTCGTACAGTCATCTCAACTGTGTGGGTGTGATGTGCTCTCATATTCACTCTCACCTATGAGTGGTATGGTCTGAAATCTGTATAACAACGACAGGGCGATGATTTGTATGTATGACATCCAGGAACTCACAATTCCTGTGGGAGACAGGTCTTGTTATTTATCAAGTCTTCTTATGATGCATTCAGGTATTAATTTTTACTGCATTTCAGGTGTTTAGGTATTCACCTCAGGTGTGTTATCTTCTCAGGTAATCAGCTTGCATGTGTCTGGCGTAATCTACCTTAAGAATACGTTAATTTTGCAACCCTTAACTAATGTGTTACGTGATCCGGTTAACACTGTACCCGTATGTGACACAGCCAGGGGGGGGGGGGGGTACAAGATATATAGGTGTGATGTAATCATGTTCACCTGTACTGAACGTGACGGGCACAGCTGCCCTGGTCTCTGTGGTTCACAGTACTTGTCCAGAATGTGTTCACTTGTGTATATAGAGTTAATGCTATTTGTGTAATTAGAATATAATGTGAATGCATTCGTTTATTTCGGGATAAAATGATAATGTTATGTGTGTGTGTGTGTATTTACTATTTGTAAATTTATTCCTGCAGAATCGAGCTATTAGCTCTTGGACCCCGCTTTTCTAACCAATTTATTTTTCCTCTATTATGTCTACTGCATATATTCATCTTACAAGCGCACACAAGCACACATCCCCAGGAAGCAGCCCGTAGCAGCTGTCTAATCCCAAGTACCTATTGTTAGGTGAACAGGGGTAACAGGGTGAAATAAACTCTGCCTTTTGATTCTGCCTCTGCGGGGATCGATCCCGGGCCCTAAGGACTACGACCTCCGAACGCTCTGCACTCAGCCGCACGGCCCATCGGGGCCCTGTGTGTGTGTGTGTATTCACCTAATTGTGCTTGCGGGGGTTGAGCTCTGCTCTTTGGTATTTTGGTATAAAATGTGTGTGTGTGTGTGTGTGTGTGTGTGTGTGTGTACTCACCTAATTGTGCTTGCGGGGGTTGAGCTCTGGCTCTTTGGTCCCGCCACACACACAGGTCCCGCCTGTGTGTGTGTGTGTGTGTGTGTGTGTGTGTAAATATAGATAAGATAAAGTGGAATTCATTTCCTGATAACCCACACCAGGTGTGTGGTGGAGGATTGTACCTGATGACTCTTCTCACTTAGTCTCGTGTTACCGGCTCATGAACTGACGTGTTTAAGTCGGTCTTGGATCAAGGGTTATCTATAAGTGTGTGTGGGCTCACCTATTTGTGCCTGCAGGATCGAGCATTAGCTCTTCGACCCCCGCCTTTCTAACTGCATGTTGTTTAGAGCAAGGACTTCTGTCCTATTTCCCTGTCATATCTAATTTTAAAAGATGAATAAAATTTGCTTCTTCAACCTATTACTTTAGTTCGTTCCATTTTCCCACTACTCGTACGCTAAATTAAATCTTTGTTTGTTTTGTTTGTTTGTTTGTGTGTGTGTTCACCTAGTTGTATTCACTTAGTTGTGCTTGCGGGGGCTGAGCTCTGCTCTTTCGGCTCGCCTCTCAACTGTCAATCAACTCTTACTAACTAGTATTTTTTTTCCCCACACCACACATACACACACCAGGAAGCAGCCCGTGACAGCTGACTAACTCCCAGGTACCTATTTACTGCTTGGTAACAGGGGCATAAAGGTGAAATAAACCGCCCATTGTTTCTCGCAGGCGCCGGTAATCGAACCCGTAACCACAGGATCACGTGACCAGCGTGCTCTTCGCTCGGCTCCCTTGTGTGTGTGGGTGTGTGTGTGTGTGTGTGTGTGTGTGTGTGTGTATGTTAGATCAAATGTTAGAATCTCAATATTTCTTATATTTTTCTTCAGTTTGAATGTATTTTTGTGTTTTTGTCACAATTTTAATGGTGTAAGATAATGATACCATTTAATTTGTTTCTACATTTCCAGAAGTCGACAAGCTAACCTTTCAGGAAGTGTGGTGATGGACCAACACCTGTACACTACAAAGGGGCCAAAGCCCACTGTGCTTTGGCTTCCAGGTAATGGAAGAAGCATTTCCCCTAATCTGAACTCTTATCGTGCCTTTGATCATATCTTCCGCACCGTCCACGTACACGAAGCTCTTGAAATCTGCATGGATCAGAAGATGATACCTAAATACATTATAAGCCTCAGCAGTCTTAACAGGAAATTCCTGAAACACAATCATCCTTGTAAGAATCTGCGCGTTCTTTGGTTCGGTACTAATCATCCAGAAGCTGACGAAGAGGAGCACAACTGGTATGGAAATGTAGAGTTCAGACTCCCAGTTGACCTTCTGTTGAAACACTGGAAGTATTGCTTCTTGGTGGAGATAATGTCCGCTCCGACTCACACTGCCACACGTCTGCTTCTCACTAACAAGGATTACTCTGCTGTGCTCTCCAAGTACGACCCTTATACTCCTGGAGGTCCCTGGCTCAAGACCACCGAAGGTCACCTGGGATTAACCGATTGCTTGAGGTACAACAACATTGGATACAACAGACATGGTAACACTTTGGAATTTATGATCGAGGTCACAGCCTATGGTCAGGAGAAAATCTTAGAAAACTGTGAAATCTCTTTCGTGAATCACTCGGAGGCGAAAGACAAGAGCCGTCCCCATGTGTGTCATCGATTCCAAAAATCAGAGAACGGTTGCCCTTCGCCCTTCGCCAGGGCTCTTGGCTCCAGGATATTTTTTCACGAACATACACGTCTGGCAAGGTTCTCTAGAATCGCCAAGCCTCGCCTTACCCAGAGCTCAGAGTATTACCTGCAGCGGTATTTCACCATGGATGGAGCTCTCTCAGTACCAAAGCGTAACCTTATTCCTCCCATCATTATTGTAAGCCCAACTCCTCTCCTGAACTTCAAGCATCAAATATCACAAATTCTCCTGCAATATCCTGACGGACTTCTCTATGGCTGCAGACAGTTAAATGAGAGCTGCTTGGCGATGGGTCCATTGAGTCGTATGCAGGTTTCGGATTTGCAATACATTCTCGCTGTTGAGTTTAACAAAAAACTAGATGAAAATACTGAAAACGGTGAGAAGAAAGTTCAGTCCTGCGAGCTTCTGGAGGATGTTCCCCCAACTCTGGGAACTCACAGTGATACATTTAATGGTCTATGTTTTCCAGGAAAATGTCAACATCCATGGCCAAATTACTCTGGAAACACGGAGGATATGTTTTCAGTTCCTCCCCCTCCGCTTGGAATGCCACAGCACAACAGCTGCCCTGTTTTATTCCAGCACAGCTGGGGACATATTTATCCTGGGATGTTGCATAATAATAATAGCCATATTCAGCAAGTACCTTGCCAGAATACTTGGGCTTCAGGCCATCCAGGAGTGTTCCACAACAGCCGAGTATAGGCCTAGTCTGCATTTTATATCACGTCAAGACTATGATTTCTCCGGATTCTTCAGTGTTGATATAATAAACTTTGAGAATACTCGTCCTCCACAGTGGTTTGCTGACCTTTTCCTTTCGTGAGGAGACCACAGTGCTCAGTAAACCACGGATATCAGCGGGGAAAACTTTGGTGCCAAAAATCCTTCTGTTTATGTAACTTTTTAAATGTTTAGTACAATGTGATCAATGATGTCTGATACCCTGAAAACCACAATATATATATATATATATATATATATATATATATATATATATATATATATATATATATATATATATATTATATATATATATATATATATATATATATATATATATATATATATATATATATATATATCAAGAATCTTTATAATTGTATTAATTGTTTCATATTGATTAAAGCTTACAAGTAATTAGTTATTCATATAGCTTATGTCCATGTAAATTTTTATAAGTTTTTAAATCAATTTTGAGTGTAAGCTTAAATTAATTGATAAATTATTACATTTTTTATATCCTTCAAAATCATATATTTTTATATAATGGCTTTTGTAATGTATTTGTGTGTATATATGTGAACATCATAATTTTATATATATTTTGTTTAACTTCATTATATAATTACATTTTTTAATTACATTAATTACATCAGGAAAGCTACTCATGCAACCAATAGCTTTATGTTGATATTGAACATATTAAGAAAAATAACACATATATTTATTAAACAAGTCTATGAGTTACGTGTTTCTTTGCTCTAAATCCAACACATATATCTTTTATCTAGTGTTTAAAATAGGTATTTTAAAGTGATATAGGAATCCCGTAATATATATACCTATACTAATGTTACTGTTGATGAGAGAGGCGTCAGAAAGCTTCAAATCACAGCATTATTTTATAAACAAAAAATAAGAAATGGAAAGCTCAGATTTGATTTAAAACAGTCTGTAGTGAATTATCAATGTGTTTGTAGTCATTTATTATTTAAAGTATCTTATGTGTTGCGTCATAATTCAGCCCATCCTTTTAAATTTAAGTACATATAGTAACTATTTTGTGGAAAGTACCAAAATATAACGATTGACCACCAGAAAGTTGACTTTTTTTGTATTACTGAATTTGGACAAACCGGAAAAATTTTTCAACATCAACATGTATGACCTAACCTAGGATCTCCAAGGCCTAATACTTACGCCTAATACAGTGCATATATGAGCTATACTAGGCCTAGTATAAGCTTGGTTTGTAGCTATACTTTCACTGGACTTTATAAAATGAACAGTACAAGAAGTGGTTTATTGATGGTTCCTCACTACATATCAGTAGCTTCGACCAAATAGTTGCTGTAAGTACTATCAATTCAGGAGAATGGGTTGCATAATTAAACTGTAAATTGAAGTGTTGTTAAGGCATCAAGTGGGCACCTTGCATTTCACTCACTGTAATCATTAAGACAAAGCCTGACAGTAGGAAGCAGAAAATGTGAGGAAGTTTCCACAGACATTGAGTACAAGTTCTGGCCAGCCTTCTGAGGCCAGCACTGGCAGGCCTACTTGCGTTAGCTACTGCCAGCCTTTCTGCTTACGTTAGCTCCTGCCAGCCTGCCTTAGCTCTGGCCAACCTGCTTGCCTACATTAGCTCTGGCCAACCTGCTTGCCTACGTTAGCTCTGGCCAACCTGCCTGCCTACGTTAGCTCTAGCCAACCTGCTTGCCTACGTTAGCTCTG